CCACTAGTACCACCAAGAATCTCTCCTGGAATTGTGAGTATTCTTACTTCTTCTTAAACTATTAAATGATTACATTTATTAAATTATTAAAATTATTAATAATGTTGACCTACATTTAATTAAGCTGCTTTTTATGGACCTGCACAGTAGATATTTCAGATATTTTATGTGTTACTAACAATATTATGGATTTGGAAAATTAAAATGTATAGGCAAAATGATCATTATAAAAAAAATTTTGTCATGTATCTCTACTACAGACTTCACCTCGAAAATTGGTTGGTCAAAAAAGTGAGGGAGAGGGACAAAAAACCTTAAATGAAAATCAAGGTTTTGTTGCTGATTTTTCTCACTTTTCTCCAAAGAGTGAACTACCTGAAAATCCACCGTTGGAAACTCCACAACCACAGCAGTTTACTGGTGTCTGTGGTGCATTTCATATTTACAGAAAACCCAGTCCAAGTAAGTTTATTATTTTTTCTATATATAGTTTCAAAAAAATACTTACACATTTTTAAAACTTAATATCTTCCTTTCTTTTTTCAGAGCGTGAAGGAGGAGATGAAGATACTCCTAAGGATGAACTAGAAGAATCAAAGAAACTAACTTTACACGAATTACGAGAAAAAAACGCCGAACTGCGATTAGTTTGTGAAGAATTAACAAGAGAATTAGCTAGCGCACTGCAGGAACGTATAAATCTTCGTGCAAAACTCTTACTTTTAACATGATGTAATTTGTTATCATTTGTAAGGACTCTAAACTGTGAATTACCGATTTTTCCTAAATTCATCGTGAAATCGAATATCTCATGTGTCATGCTAGTCTAGAGTATTTTCTTTTGCAAAGTTTCATATATTCATAATAATTAGCGTAACCAGAGATTAATATTACAATGCAGATATCAATAGAAACTATGTATATAACGTTAACTACTCAACCTACTCCTATTCGTCGGTTGTTATTTAAAACATTAGTTGGACTTAAAGCCCATTTATGTATTTTTAATACTTTAATAGTGTATGGTTTAGTAATACTTATAAATACTTGAAGTATATCTTGAAAAAATATTGTCAACAGAAATCGTTATGGTTACGCTATTATTCACATTTCATCCTTTTTCGCAAACAATTCCAGTGAATATTACTAGGTGCGTGGATACAAATATGATATATTTGCCTTTCTAGTATTCAAATATTACAGCATTTTAATGTCTAAATAATTTTAAAAACATATTTTTTATGCATAGTACTGTGCTAAATTGCTAAAAAGTAGTTCTTTATATATTAAAGAATCTTTTAAAAGTTGAACATTCGCATCAAGCGATATTGAAAGCTTGATGGTTATTGTATACTGTAAAACTATAGAGACATACTATAAAAATGAGTGATGGATTTTTATTGTTTACGATAACAAAATAAAACTGTATTTTCGTATCGCTGTACAATCAAATTTTTCACAGCATGACATATAGCTGATCGATATTCCTAAAAAAGTGTTACAATGTATTTCATTTCGTGATAGTAATTGTACATAGCAAATAGAATTAGAACAAGGAATGAGAGAAAATGAAGTCTGCAGGAACAGAACATTCATAGAATAAATATACTTTAAAAAGAAATGTTGATATCTTAAATCAATATTTTGTTTTCATTTTGTTTCATTTAATAGATTATTCAATGTTCGTTCTCAAATATAAAACAAAAATTATATCTAATTATTCGTTACTTTGGTTACACAGATTATATGTACAACTTTATTTATGTATAAAAACGATGGTTTTCAAAATGGTTTTGTTCAATGTCTCTATAAAAATTAATTTAATATTGCTAAAAAATGTTACATAACAGACTATTCCTTGTGCCATACAATACAATATTTTAATAACACTAATACTACACCACTTCTGTCTGCTAAAAATTACTTTATTAAAATAATTTAGAAATATTCCAATTAACAATCATATAAAGAATCTTTTTACAAGTGTATAAAACATTGTATAGAAAGTACATAAAGTTACCTGTTAATTTACTCGTTCTCTTTATTTGTATGCTCCTGTAAAAATGTAACAATATACAAAAGGATAAAGAAATGTTTAAAAAATGAAATAAAGGATTCTCTTAGTTTTGTAACAATTTTTATTGATATCGATGTAATGAATGACAAATATTAATATTACAGAAGGAAATCGCAAATATTTTGAAGGTCTTGTGCAAATGTTGAATAAATGAATGAATGAATGAATGATAAAAAGCAATTGTGTGTAACATACATTATCTATACTTTGATAATATATATAACACAAAAATATAATATATCATTTACGAATATTTGAAAACTATGAACAGAAATTTAGATCAAGTAATGTGACAAACCCGAGAACCTGCATTCTGATATTTTATTTGAATGATCGGTAAGTTACAATTCTACCTTCTGTGCGAGTGAAACAGTATGCTAAAATACCCTCAATTTCATATTTCCAATTTTTAATTGGGAACTCTACTGGCTACATGTAACATTATTCATTTTGAAAGATCCATTCAATAACGATATGCTAATATAATAAACATTATTATATAGCAACGTTTATAAAGATGTTACATATAGACATGCGAAACAGCTTATTTGTCTTTTGTTTGAATGTACTTAATGAGGTCAACCACACGGTTAGAATAACCATATTCATTATCATACCACGATATTAACTTAACAAAGTTATCGTTTAAGGGTATACCGGCTTTAGCATCAAAAATACTGGAGTGGTTGTCACCAATGAAATCGGAAGATACTACATCATCCTCTGTATATCCTAAAATTCCTTTCAAAGGTCCCTCAGCAGCTTCCTTTATTTTAGCTTTAATGGCGTCATAACTTGCAGGTTTAGCAAGTCGAACTGTTAAGTCAACAACCGATACATTATGTACTGGTACACGGAATGCCATGACCATCGCGCCACAACTATTACAAAATAACACAAGAAGCATTAAACATGATGAAATTGAAACACTGATTATAACATAAAGAAAAATATTATTAGAAAAAGTTTGATGTACTTTTCCAGAAGGTCCATCAACAGTTTTTTGGGTAGCAGTGATAGCATGTACTGTAGTCATAAGACCCTCAATGATTTCAAAGTTATCATGAACAACTTTAGCAAGAGGAGCTAAACAATTGGTTGTGCAGGAAGCATTGGAGATAACTTTATAACTTGGATCATAAGCATCCAAATTAACACCTACAACAAACATAGGTGCATCGGCTGATGGTGCAGAAATGATAACTTTCTTAGCACCTCCTTCCAAATGAGCCTAAAACATAAACACAATTTAAAAAATACAAACTCATGTTTGTCTTTCTTTATTAAGTATAAATATACAAATTTTGTACATACAGATGCCTTTTCAATTGTAGTAAAGACACCAGTTGACTCTACAACATATTCGGCTCCAGCTTTTCCCCATGGAATAGCTTTTGGATCACGCTCGCTGTACACAGCAATTTTATTACCATTGACAACTAGGCAACCATTATCAGCTTTGACTTCTCCTTTAAATCTTCCATGAGTAGAATCATATTTAAACATATATACCATGTAGTCCAAACCAATGAAAGGATCATTGATGGCAACAACCTATTAAAATTATAAAAATCAATAAAATGAAAATAAAGACATTTATGAAATTAAAAAATTGTTTAATACCTGGCCACCACGCTCAAGGGAGGCCCTGAGCACAAGACGGCCAATACGGCCGAATCCGTTGATTCCGATTTTACTCATGTCGTCTTCTGTACAACTGGAAAATGTATGTGATAATGTTCGGTAAAATTTTTTTGATTCAGTTGATATGCACTGTCGTTTATAAATCAATTTTTGTATCAACGTTGTAAACAATATTAATCTCATTGTATACGATATAACCTCAAATGAGGTTAATCAATTTCTTCGATATGCAATGATTTTGTATTTATAATATTGTTCTTCATTTCTTGAGGATTAAGAAATGTTAAACAAATTAAGAATACAATTATTTAATTCGTTTGTACATAATTACAATAATTTATAAACTATACTGATTTAATGTTATTTCGAGTGTGTTTTGTTATACGTTATAATCATTATGTTATTTAACTGAAAAATAGATTCATGAACAGGGGTATATTAAAAGCAACATTGATGTGTGCATTATATTTGCATTAGTACTGAATATAATTTCATTGAATGGATTTATATCATTAAATTAAATAATTTACTAAACTTTGAGCAATGATTTGTAATTCTGACATGTAGGCTATAAAACTTTATTTTATTTCAAAGGTCATTCAAGGTCAAAAAAACGTCTCAGCATCTCGCATAGAATTCGTCCTTGAAGATGAACGTGACCTTCATGTCTTGAATTTTAATAAATATATTTTATATTCAATCTAATTTGTATTAGCATTCGAATTTAACTTCAAAATAAAGTGATATAACATCGATTAGTACTTACATATATATCACATCGTCATGATTCTTTTTAACTCAAAAATTTGGTATACTTAAATTGAATGAAAGTTAAACTAATAAAGTTGAATAATAATTGCAATCAGAATTAATTTTTAAATTTCTTGAAGACATTTCTCACAAATAAAAATGTTGAACTAATTATGCAGGTATAACATTTTGGTTTGTTTAAAAACTATTACTAAAAAAGAAATTGCAAAGATGTAAAGTTTAAGTTGATAGAATTCTCTGAAAATTGTTTTATGCTTTATAAATACATTAAAATTAATCAGAGTCCGGGGTTTGTTTTAAATAAGTATCCAATTGCATATTGTTCCAATGTTTTATCGCAATAAGGAAACTACGTTGCGTGACAAAATGATTGTGAATGGAAGCTGATACGTAATAAGAATACAATGAAACGAATTCTGATAAAAAAACAAAATAATGATTCTACCAAAAGACCAATTGGATATGTTAGAAATTTATCAGAACACGCTTCTCTCTCAAAGATTCCTTGGCAAATTCGGCGTCCATTATAACAAAAATTGTTACAGGAAGGTACTTATTTTGAATGACGTCATATCAGCCGGTATGAACAGTACGTGTATAACATGCCAGGTAATTCCAGATACAAGTTAACAAAATTTCTGTTTATAATTTTATTCAAGACACTAATATAATAATGGGAAATTATAATTTACTATGATGCACAAATATGAAATATTGAAAAATTGGTTCATCTATAAAAATATATATACAGGATGAATTGAGATTGAATTAAAAAATTTGTGATACTTACCCGAAAGAACAATCTTTACACGATGCTTACCACTAAAGCAGTGTCATTTGAAGGGCAGAAAACGGTAATATAACCGGCATTAGCTTTAGGCGTATGCGCTGTAAACGTTTTTGGTCTCGTGTATTATCGGCTAAACTCGGATCATGTGAACACGTCTTCTCATCGACGTATTCAAGAACCGCTAAATTTAAACGTTGCTTCTTTAAAGAATATATATTTTATAATTCATTAAAAAATATAGTTAACACAGATTTATCTTTGTATATTTGTGTAATAAACAAATGTTATTTATTTCAATTATATCTTTACTTTTCTAAAAGGCGTACAGTATACATATGTAGAATGAAATGCATTAAATGAAACTGTAATAGAGCAGTGACCTTTAAATTACACGAAATAATAAGAAATTTAGATAAAACGCACGTTAAAGTTACTTTATATAAAATATGGTAAAGATATAATCTTATAATGCACTCTTGTTACTGAAATAATAATCATTCTCCGTTTTCTTCCGAATCCTGAGAAGGCACCGCCACATTACCAGAATCAACTTGGTTCATATATCGTATTAGATCTATTACACGATGTGCATAACCATATTCATTGTCGTACCTGTAAGTTTATACTTTAGTTGATAAATTAACAACTGATTAATTTTTTTATATTTAAGTTAATCTTTCCTTTAAATTTATACTTTTATAATCTAAATTGTTTTAAAGTAGAAATAAATAAAATGTTAGTAAATAATCCATAATTTATAATATGATTCAACAAATCTACCTGAAATGATATTGTATATATTAACATAAAGAATGATTTGAAAATTTTTTATTCAAAAATTGTGTTTTTGGAGAATAGTTTGTTCTGATAATCACCAGGCAACAACTTTGATAAATGTACTTGTCTGGGGTATGCCGGCTTTCGCGTCGAAAATGCACGAATAACTCGAATTATTGAAATCAGACGATACACAATCATCGTCTGTATAACCCAATATGCCATTTAGATCGTTCTCTGACGCTGATTTCATTGCTTCCTTCATTTCTTCATATGTTGTTGGCTTATTGACTCTAAAAGGGTTCAAGGAAGTAAACTTTTAGTTAGAATATAAACTATTTTATTAGTGTTATATTATTTATTTTGAAATCATTTTCTAACATTCACTGTAACGAACTGTATATAATAAATTGATATTGGTAAGATAAAAATGATGTAGTTTAACGTTATTAACTAATTTTCTGCTAAATCTGAATATTTTATTTGATATAAATTGATAAAACCGTACCTAAAAGTCATATCGCATAAAGAAACATTCGGGATTGGTACTCTAAATGCTATTGCGGAAATTTTGCCTTTAAGTTCCGGGATAATTTTGTCTAACGACTTGGCTGCGCCTGAAGACGTTGGAATGATATTTTGGAGAGCACCCCTACCGTCTCTCCACAGCTGTGATACGGATACAATTATAACACGTCTTCTTTTTGTAAAATAACTTAGTTACGCAAATTAGATCAACATTATAACACACTGTACGTTTATACATTAATACGCATACACTGCATACTCTTATAGTGAATTTTGATAAACCGCAAAAAATATGGAAAAAGAAATATTTAATTTAAACTTAGTCAACTAAACCTGATCAAAAATGTCATCAGTATGTAATAACTTTGTTACGATACGTATTAGAAGGAACAATACTTCAAAAGCTTATTTAAACAATTAAACAAATTAAGCAAAGCTTATTTTAACAATAATTTGATTAAGAAGAAAATGTATCACTTTGTTACAAAACAAATGCATTAGAATATTTTTCTTATTGGACAGTTTTCGTATAATGAAAATATAACGAAGAAGTTTAAGTTTCTAATATTAGCTGATTTTCACCATACAGTAACGATAAATCTAATAATTGGTAATGTGAGAATTAGTTAAAGAAATTTTCGATTATTTCGAGTATTGCATATTATTTATTAAAATTTAGCAAAATCTTTGATAATTACTTTTCCTTTCTCAATGGGTCCATCTAAAACTCTTTGCATCGACGTTACAGCATGCACACTGCTGATCATCACTTCGATAACTTCGAAGTTCTTATGCATCACTCGAATGATCGGTGCTGCACAGTTTGTCGTACAAGAAGCAGCCGATATTATTTTACCCTTTTTTGGGTCGTAACAAGTGTGATTTACACCGTACACCATCATTGGTGCGTCGATAGAAGGTGCGGTAATAATCACTCTCTTGGTTCCGCCATCCATATGTAACTAAACAAAGCAGATATTTTCTTTCTCAGGATATTTCTAAAAGTGTGTGAAAATTCGTAAATCGATATTCTATTTTAAGTATACAAAACTGAAATTGTAGGTAAAACTTTGACACGTCGCGCTCGTGACGGCGAAAGTGTGAACCGCTATTTACTGCTAGATAAGTTACATGAATACGCGATTACCAGCTGTAACGTCTCACTTTTTATCTACGAAATTGTATAAGAATGAATAATTGAAAAAGATTTTAAATAATAAAAAGTACGCTACTTTTACGCTTTAAAAATTAGATAGTTAAAATTAATAACTAAAATTTTACATTATTTATTGTCGAAGGGCATAACTGTTCCACATAGCACACGACTTCTTAGAGATGTACATTTTACGTTCATTTTTGGTCAGAATGTCTTACGGCCTGAGCTGGACGTCTTGAAGACGTGCGAATCGGCACGTTCTAACAACGTATAAAAATTACGTCTACAAAACGTTTTTAAGACGCTTGTAAAACTAGCACATAGTGTTTCGCAGCGTCATATTTCAAAGACATCTTGATTTGTAACATTGAACGTCGTTCAGACGTCTTCTGGACATTTTTAGGCTTTTATTCGACGTCTTTATGTCGTTCACAAGATGTTTGTGTGCTATTTGGGTATGTATTCGGTACTTTTTCAATGATTTTTAAATTAAATATAACATGATAAACGAAACAGTTACAAAATAAATAAGTAAACAATTTATTTTAGTTTATTATTATATATAGGTATTAAATTAATTTCGTAACGTTATGATTTAATGACGTTGAATAAACATAATATCAGGAAATAAAAAATATATAATACAATTTGTATAAACTATTGTATAAAAATTGAAAGTATCTAAGACAAAATAACTTCGTTTCTTACGCCTGCTTTTTCTAGAGTAGTAAAAACCCCGGTAGCCTCAATCACATAAGTTACACCTGCTTCTTTCCAATTTATTTTACATGGATTCTTTTCCTGAGACGTAGATATTTTATTATCTTTAAGAAGAGAAACGACAATTTAAATATTCATCTTAAGTTTAAGCCTGTCGAATGTACCAATCAATGATTTATTTATATTTAACGATATGTATATGCAATTACATATAAGTTCTTCCAGCGTGAACTTCAATATTAATATAATTTTCGCTTAATATTTAATGATAAGATATACCTCCGATAATGATATGTCCATTTTCGCATTCCAATTTCAAGGGATACGTTCCATGAGTTGAATCATACTTAAATAGGTATATCATATAGTCGGTCGTAATATATGGATCATTAATTAACTTAACCTAATGCAATATAATTATTTTACGCTTGTTCGATACAAAAGTGTTTGCATATAAAACAGTGTCTGCAGCATTTGCATATAATGTAATAATTCATTCTTACCGTAATATCCTGTTCAATGCAAACTCGCAAACACATTCTACCTATTCTTCCAAATCCATTAATACCTACTACTGCCATAACTTTATGATAAAATTACTGACTAAATGGTAATAATATCGATGTGGGATATTTATAAATTGTATCTCGAATTTGTATTGTACTTATTTTAGTTCTTCGTGAACGTCAAAAAATCAATAGTGTGAATTTATGTGCATAATTTTTCTATACATATATATTTCTTTTCTTCTAAATTTGCTTTATTTATTTATATATTTGCTTATATTTATTTGCTTTATTTTCTTAAATTTTGTATATGTATGTATGTTATATAAATTCGTGGTATCGTTATTACGCGGAAACCACTGCAAATTTAAAATATCTGTTCAAGCCATCATATTATGTATAAAAAATAGTGAAATTTTATCCTCTGTTCCTATAAATCCACCTCTCTAATAGCGTAAACAGTGAACATCTTCTCTATGTGTGTGTGTGTGTGTGTGTGTGTGTGTGTGTGTGTGTGTGTAGATGCATATGTATGTGTTTCATTACTATAGTTGTTACTGTATCGCTTTATTAACATTATGTTACAAATTTGTATAAAATCATTTAACAATAAATATCCAACTGCTCGATGAAGTTATTATTTGCCAAAGGTAATACATTAAATTTTGCATTCGAAATTCTACGAAGTAATGTATATTATATCAGAATACATATTTAATATACAGGGTGTCTCAGTTAAGACCAAACACCTAAATATCTCCTTTACTTTTAATGATATCAGAAATGTTTGAATATTTTTAAAATAAGAATATCGTAAATGAAATATGTTTTTATCATCATTTTTTGGAACGCATATACCTTTTTCTGTTGCATCTTATAACACATGTTAAGTGAAATTCAAATACGTTTAACTTATGACTTTGACGTGACATTGAACATTGAAGAAGAAACGAAATTCTGAGACAATGTTAGGGTGGAATGTAAACTTACTTTTTATGTTATAAATGCTCAAAGTGATGTCACGTACTGTGATGCTCTTTCCATTATTTCAGACGTGATAGCACAGTGATAGATTAGTATTAATACAATGGCCTTAAAAAAATTCGGAATAGAATTTTCTATTTACGGTATTCCTTTTTTGAAACCATTTAAACTATGTTTGAAACATTTTTTATATCGTTAAAAATAAAGGAGATATTTATGTGTTTGGTCTTAGTTGAGACACCCTGTATATCACATTCCTTTAAGCGAGTATCGTAGATTCGTGATAATATTACTATCTTTCTTATATACAATCTATTACAGCTGTTATGAAGTACGAAACAGCTTAATATTGAGAAGTAAACATCAACATTAGTGAAGGGGAGAATTAAAGCTCACATGTTGCTTAATAGTCTCGTAGTTGCGATGAAGAAAGTCAGTTCGCGAGGAATAGAAGATATTTATTACAAAATCACTATCTATTCAAAGGGGTTCAAAGGTGAGTGATTTAATATAAACATCAAAGAAATAATATTTATAATTATATTAAAAATGCAATGCACATACGAATTAGAAAGACAAAATTTCAAGGCATTGTAAATATTTTATAGTGTAAAAAATATGTGATTCATTTTTTAGAAACAAAATATGATATGATTCCATAATACATACAGTAAAACGTGGAAAACTGACTACATGAAATTAAAATGAAAGCAAAGTATATGCAACATTGCTACAAAATACTGAAGGTAACAAAATTTAATCAGTACTTTAAATTGTTTAAACGCAATAAACGTTACCGATCTATTTTACTACGTGTTATTTTGAATTTCAGAATAATTGTTTCAAAAATATTTTCGGCTGAAAATGGGTAGTCTATGTATATCGAAAATGATATTTTAATATCAGAAACGAATTTTTCCATACATTTTAATTTATGTTAATATGTCCTTGCTATAGCACAAATTATGACTTTACTGGACAAATGTTAAGAAATATAAATTTTATATTGCACGCAAAAATGAAACCGAGGTATAATACGAAAAAGCGAAAAAAGTACGTTTGGTATAATGAGTGCAATGTTGTCTCCATATAAATAAAATATTGAGATTATTTTGAAAAATATTACCGAATGGAAAGAATAATAATTTAGTACTTTTTTCTCAAACGTACAGAAGTTGATGATACATGCTTAATATCATTGGGAATGTAAAATATCGTTTATGTGCGAATATAAATTTTTCATAAAGAATTACTAATTTTAACTTTTTCTGAATACGCACAATTTAACAAAATTAATTAGTATAAGATAAACGATATTTATATACTCCAATGATTTAGCGTTACTCCACATGTTGTGTATGTACTCATATTTCTATATTTTGAAAAAAAAAGTTACTAATAAATCTTTTA